CGTGCAATGGGCTGGCTGAGCTGATGTAGGAGACTGCATGTGGGAATGGACAATAAAGAGAAAAGTCCCAATAAAAAGTGGCTAAGAAAGTGGGAGCTGACGTGGAACAGCTGAGGTTCAAGGTGACCACTGCTGGCAGAGTGACCTTTTCCTCATTTGTAAACTGGATGAAAAGAGAACATACTCCTCAGGTTATTAAAAGCATCAGATAAGATAATGCATGTGAAATACAGTACCTGAGTGCCATCCCAACTGCGTAAAAAAAGGAAAGGCTAACTCCATTCAAACTCATGTGCATGTGCACAGAAGAATTTCAGAAAATACGGTTTTACAGCGTCAGAGGTAATAAATCTAGATCACTCTTTTACCCTTAAATGGTGCAGGGACTGCGGCTGTGCTAACAAGGGTGTGAAAAGTAATGAAAGAAATTCGCTGCCATGCAGATTGATGGCCCCACACACATCATCTCCAAAGGTCGCCTGGGAGACTGTCCCGGGCATTTTGATGAGGATTAAGATGTCCTTTAAAATCCTTATTATTTTCATGACAGTTTTTAAAAATTTTTATTGAATTTATTGAAGTGACATTGGTTAATAAAATTATATAGGTTTCAGGGTACAATTCTGTAATATATCTCCTGTACACTGTATTGTGTTCACCATCCCAAGTCAAGTCACCTTCCATCCCCATTTTTTCCATTTACCCTCCTCTAGATCCTCCCAACCCTCTTTCCCTCTAGTAAACACCATGCTGTTGTCTGTATCTATGAGGTTTTCTTTCTTCACTTAATCCTTTCACCTTTTTCTCTCAGCTCCCCAACCCTCTTCCACTCTGACAGCTGTCAGTCTCTTCTCTGTATCTATGACTCTATTCTATTCTGTTTGTTTATGTTGTTCAATAGATTTCACATGTAAGTGAAATCATTTGATAATTTGTTTTTTTCTGACTGGTTTATTTCACTTAGCATAATACTCTCCAGGTCCACCAATGCTGTTGCAAAAGGTAAGATTTCCTTCTTTTTTACGGTTGAGTAGTAGTCCACTGTGTAAATGTACCACAGCTTTTTTATCCACTGATCTACTGATGGGTATGGGCTGATTCCAAATCTTGGCTATTGTAAATAATGCTGCACTGATCACAGGGGTGCATACACTCTTTTGAATTAGTGTCATGGGTTTCTTTGGATAAATTCCAAGAAGTGAAATTGTTGGGTCATAAGGCAGTTCCATTTTTAGTTTTTTGAGGAAACGCCATACCATTTTCCACAGCTGTTGCATCAGTCTGCACTCCCATCAACAATACACAGGGCTCCCCCTTTCTCCACATCCTCGCCAGCACTTATTTTTTGTTGATTTATTGATGACAGACATTCTGACAGGTGTGAGGTGATATCATTATGGTTTTAGTTTGCATCTCTCTAATGATTACTAATGTTGAGCATCTTTTCATATATCTATTGGCCTTCTATATGTCCTTCTTGGAGAGGTGTCTATTCAGGTCCTTTGCTCATTTTTTAATTTTGTTGTTTGGCTTTTCTGGTGTTGAATTTATAAGTTCTTTATAAATTTTGGATATTACCCCTTATCAGATGTATCCTTAGCAAATATGTTCTCCCATTCAGTGGTTGTCATAACAGTTTTTTTAATCTCAGGAAAATGGTTGGAGTTTTAGCTGCATCCCAGCGGCGGCTTCCGAAGCTCCAAGTCACATGCAAGGTGTGGATCAAGAACACACAGTGCATGAACTTTGAAAATGAGTGGCCTGTGCTGGCTACAGGGGCAAGCATAAAGTAATATCAAAAGGGAAAAAAAATGCCAAGGAAGTGACACCAACAAAGTCTATGATCAGAAGCAACTGGAGGTTAAGGAAAATGAAACCCAACATCACATGAATGATTTGAATCATGTTGAATGTGATACAAAGTGTAGAGCAAAGAGACAAACATTAAAAATGACTAAAAAGTGAGGGTAATCCTACCGGGAAAAGAAAAAACAAAAAAAATGTATTTTTTAAAAAAAATAGCTTCAATAGGCTGTAGGCCTTGGAGAAAAGGAACATGAAGAGCATTCAATTAAGAATTAGGGGGAGTGGGAGAAGGAAGATGTTAGGAAAAGAGATGAAACCTGTAACCCCAAGTCACAGCAGAAGAGGTGATTTTGGAGAATGAATGATAACATGGCTGAAATAATCAACAACGGTCAGATTCAACATAAATCTGAAAAGTAATCAACATTCTTCTCATTTCACTTGAATTGCCCAACTGTCAGTCAGAAAGCCAGAGCAAACTAGGTCTGAAACTTGGAAGAAAGGGACATGAAATGTCCTAATTTGGAAAAAATCCTTTCAAAAGGCAGACTGACAGACATTATTAACACAGCGAAACAAGAAACTGCCGATCAGAATGGAACTGTTCTCCGTACAAGGTGAGAAATTACACTCAAGAGCACCAGCTGGCATGGGGGGCTGGGCCCTCTCAGTGTCACAATCGCATTGGTAACATCACCCCACCATCTCTTTTGGGGAGACAGACGCAGCGGCTGTTCTGCTGAAAGCCTGTTGAATATTCAGGCATCTAGCTCACCGGCAACTGTCCGATTGCAATTGACTGGCCCACGCAGACTGGCATAAAGGGGAAGCATGCACAGTGTAATTCAGCCTGTGACTTCCCACCGGACTGAGGTTGTATTCATCTCTTAAATGACTAAACTGCTGTTATGATCTCATACAACAGTCTCATGAGTTTGGATAATGGGTAATCATCCTGTGAGACAAACTTTCTTTGGTGTGCTGAACATGTATTTCTGAGCCTATTATACCTGAGAATAATACCTTGGGTCACAGAAAATTCACCAAAATAATAAAAACCACCTGTATGGAGGGAGAGTGGGGGCTGGGGGGAGTGTCCTGTGTGGTAGCTGATTGTTCTTCCGTAAGTGATAACCTCTTATAGCACAGTTAGCCCTGATTGTCTTCCTTCTTTAAATGTGACACTTTCAGGGCTGGAATTAAAGTACATGCCCCCCCACACACATACTCACAGGCACTATAGCTAGAAGATAACTGGGAAGGAGCCCAGGGGTGAAGAAGAATCATTTTTAATTTCTGGGTTTAAGAAAGTACAGATATTCAGAATTATTTCCTACTGAAAATTACTCCAACTACAGATAAATGAAGGAATTAATATGCAACTTTGGATAATCCCTATTTATCCAAATTAATTACACACCATGAGTTTCAAAAGAGACTTCCTGCCAGGATCACAGGGACACAAATAAATGATACCGCACATAAACCCACAAGTAACTTACGAACTTGAGAAATGTTACATAAATGGACAACAATTTTAATAAAAATGTCATACTTAATTTACGAAAAACACTAGCTAAAAGCTGGATGCCAACCTTGGAAAGGTGACAACGCAATGGCTACATAAAAACACACCAAGACTGAAGGCTCTGCAATGCAGGTTGTGACGAGTTACTATTCACAGGTTCAGCTAGGTAACATTTTGCTTGAAAAAGGTAAATAAAGGTGGCATTATTTACAATAGTGGTTGCAATTTTCTCTTCCTTTTTGGCCTCTGATTAAATTTTTACCCTTTTCCTTTCGTAAATACTTTGGTGTTCCTTTACGTCACGTCCTGGATTTACCTGTCCCTTATTGCAAGTAAGGAGGCACTTTCCAGCTCCCTTTCACAAATCACTTCTAGTTCTTTTCAATGTCCTTCAGTGGGCTTCTTAAAACAATTACAATTTATGGATGAAGTGATATGAAGCCTGGGAGGACTGGGGGCAGGGAGGGTGCAAATGAAACAAGACTGGCCATGAGTCGATCACTGCTAGAGATGAAAAATGGGCATACAGGAGTTGATTGTACTATGTTTGAAATTTCCCATAACAAGAAAATTTTTCAATAAAAACAATTATTATTATACCATATATTTTATGACAATGACTTTCTGCTGAAGGGCACAGAAATTGGGATAAAGTCAGAAGACTTTATTGGCTCATTTGTAATTGAAATCTAGTCTACAATTCCAAATAGCATCCTGAGGTACCTTACCTAAAGACATGTACAACAAGCCAGACCCTTTTCTAAATACTCTCACTCTATTATCATGTCAAAAAGAGCAACCATCTAGGTGTCTATAGTTATTCTTATTTAAAGTTTAGCTATAAGCTTGTTGAAAATAAAGGTAAATAGCTAACTCTAGTGAGTAATAAAATTCATGTTCTGATAAAAAAATACCAAATATATTTTTCCTGGTGTTAAATTCTATTGTCTAAGTGAACTTTGTATTGTAATACAAAGGACACGATACAACATAATGGACAATGTCTTTAACGTAACTTCACAGATGAAATGTTTCTCAAATGGTCAGTCCTTGAGTCCATTCTTCCTAAACACCAAAGGCTGTTACACCTAGTTCAGTGAGGCAAAGCAACTCTTTTGGGGTTTACAGTAGAATAGTCCAGATATGTAGCTGATTGATATTGACTATCAAGTAAGAGTCAGGGATGCTAAATCAAGGGAAATAAATGGAAAGTATGTCCATAGTTTTAAAATAGACTTTTTCTTAGCAGGTCTTTTGTCAGTAGCCTAATTTAAGTGAATCTGGTGAGAATTCATATTACAAATTACAGAAAGGTTTGTATGATTTGGATTTGGTGCATACGGGTTTTGGGATGACCTTATAATTATTTATATAATTTATATGTATTTACACAATGTTAAAGCTTTCACACCCTAGTAACTATAATGAAAAGCATCACGAGTTAGCAGTCAGGAGGTATTAACTCCAGTTTTATTCCTACTAGTCTGTGTACCCTTGGGCAAGTAACTAATTTTCTGAGTCTTTTTTCTTCAACAAAAAACTAGATCATTTAATTAAATGTTTCAGTTACTTTGAGGCACTAATGTAAATGCCTCTTGGATTCTTCTAATGTTTATGAACATGAATAAATCTCAAGGTGTCATTTAGTCAGTAAAGTTTATCTCACCAGGATTTTATCTGGATCACTGTTGCCGGTTTCAACTTCAATCACAGCCTTACAGTCCTCCTGCACAAAATTCTGATTCTGCTTCCATTTCATCTCCCAAGAAGAGGCCTACAGCAAGGTATTAACAAAGAATATACAAGGTTTATGTAATCTGTGGTATATATTAAACTACCTTTATTCACCCTCTATTAATTTCTGTACAGAAGCAGATTTCTGTAAGATAAACAGAGGAAATTCAATTTCTGATATTTGCCCTCAAGAAGCATATGACTTAGATGAGCATATGTAAAGGTTAAATAACAACAGACAACAATTAAAAAAGTATCGTAAGACAAATTAAGTATGAAATGAGTAGTGTGGGCTATGGAGCTCAACTGTGAACCAAAAGGCTTATATTATTTTGCAAACGATCTGCATGAATTACTGCCATATCCTGTATAGATAATGTCTCATATGGATAGACACATTGTTCTTAATATTTATGTAGGTGTTGCTGGGCAGAATAAGACATGCATTCATTTCAAAATATCTGTGATGCCTTTCTCTTATTACGTAATTAATTAATGGATACTAGATATGCCTAGTACTATGTGAGATACTTTCTTCTGATATTGAAAGGATGTCCTCATACTTGAAAGGTATGAAACTGTTAGAATGGAAAATGTATGATGTAAGGAAAGGTCTCCTTTGATTAGAATGGCTTGAGGTGGACTCTTAGCTTCCTGAGGGCAAGAATTGTGTCAATCTCTGAGTCCTCAGTACCTGGCCCAGAGTAAATGCTTAATTATTTTGTTTGTTTGTTCAGTAAAATTAATTAACGAAAGAATACTAAGGGGAAATTAAAAAGAATAAAAAGTTGCAGATGAAGTAAACAATATATTATATTATTTTTACTGGGAGCCCTGTTTTCAAGAAATGGGAGAAAAGCTGTTTGTGAAAAAGAAAGTGTAATCTTCTGAGAAACATGGGGTGTGATAAAAACAATTCTCTAGGAAGAATGGGTAATTCATTAACTACCTGCATTAGCAAAGCAGAACTGTGGTGCAAATGAGCTAAATCATTTGCTAATTCCAGAGCCATTTTTATCAAGCTTTTGGAACACATGATAAGATTTACTCCAAGCACTTCTGCCTTCCTAATTCCATCTACTTAAGCTAATATTAAAATTAATTACACTTCCTGAACCTCCTCTGATGCTGGTAATGCTTAGTGTTGTGTTTGCTAGACAGAATATTAACAATTTACTGCAAATAACCCTCAAGTAATTGAAAGTTGTTTCAATTGCAGTTTAAAACCTGATTAAATTCATTTTTCAACAGCTTATAAAAAATTACAGTTCCCTGATCTATCCACCTCACTTTTTAGCTTTTTTTAAGTATAAACTATCTTCTGAAGTGAAAGGACCTTACCTTTCCAAGAGGTGACATATAACCAGTCTCTCTTTCTTCACCCTCTGCTTACTAATGAATTCATTCTAATCTGCTACCCTCTTCAATCCAACAAAAACAATAAAATCCTTCCTGAGATCATCCCTATTACCTCTAAGTCATTAAGCCAATGGACTTTTTAGAGGCTTTTATCCTTTTGACAGAATTCCACCTCTCTGACCACCTCACCTTGGATTGCATTTTATCTCCCCCCACACACATACCTTTGGCTTTAATAATAAAACAAATTCCTGATTTCTTCTCTTCCTGTTCTGGCAATTCCCTCACAATCCCCTGTGCACACATCTTCAGACTGTAACCATAAGATGTTAATATCCCTCAAGTTCCTACCTGCTTGTTCTTTCCTTCTTACCCTTACTACCCACTTGGCATGTCCCCATGGGAGTTTTGAACTGTGTAAGCTGAACTCGTGCTCCTCCTCACAATCCCAGCCACCTTCTAGGATTCCCTGTTTCAATGAATGGAATCACCATCCAACGAGGTGCAAGAGCAAGAGATTCTGCTGTCATTCTTAACATTTCCCTATGCTTCATCATCTATAGCCAAGCTGGGTCAGTGTTCCCTCTTCAAACAACACAGAAGGAACAATAGTATGGATTTTGTTGTGTATAATGCACACTATTTTGCCCAAATTTTTGAAGGGAAAAATAAGGATGAGCATTATACATGAGTAGTACCTGAAACACTTTTTGCCTGTTATGTTTTGTAATTATTCACTACATAAAATTTCTTGTACCATATGTTCAAAAATAAATGTTAAAATTCCTTTATCATACAAAAAAAAAGCATCTAAATATAAATAAATCACTGAATTTAAAAAATTAAAATGAATGATTTTTTTCCTTGAAAGTTTGGGCCAAAAATGTGGGTGCACATTATACCTGGCAAAACATGGTATTCACTTCTCCCCACTCCCTCGCCATCACCCAGCCCACACTAGGCCGTTATTTCTCCATGCGGCCACTATGATAGCCTAACCGCTCGCCTGCATTTGCTCCTATCTCTACTAACCCTTCTTCCATACTCAGCCAAAGCAATCTTTTCTAAAGGAAAATCTAATCATGCCACTTCCCAACTTGAAACTCTTCAATGGTTTCCCATTGTTTTGAGGATAAATGCAAAACCTTTTATCAAAGGCTATATATAGGGCCTGCATGGTTTTGGCCACTCCATACTCATCTTACACCATCCTCTTCCAATCTCTTGGCCCGTCGTGGCTTAGTTGTCTTCCCAAGGTGCTCTGTATTCACCATGTTCCGTCTTTAGCAAATGCTGGTTGCATTGCTTAGAAATGCTCTTTCCCTCCTTGTATCATTTTAATTGAAATTCAGTCATAAAAGTTCAGCTATCACTTTTTCAAGGAAGATTTCCCTGTCTTCTCAGATAAGTCAAATTCTCCATTATAAGTACTCATGCTACTAAGTCATACAAACTGTCACAGATGCAGTTTATATTTATCTGTGTAATTGCTGGATTGTCTCCATGTAAGTTCGATGGGGCAGAGATCAGTTATATATACACTATGTGAATATTTAAATGATATATATCTTGTATGTATATACATATACTATACTAAGTATATACACATGTATGTGTATGTACATATATGTATAAACACATATGTATATATACACACCCATGCACACTAAGTGAATCATGTCATATTCCAACCCTTCAGCACACTTCAACCTCTTAATCATTTATGTGTTTTTCTAGCATGCTACCTACCCATAAAATATGCCAACAAACTGCAAACCTTGAAATTGCACAATCAGTAGAAGTCAGGATAAAAGAATAAAACTAGTTTTTATACAGGGTATTACTAACATGCAGTATTTTGGATATAGCAAGGGTTGAATAAATATCTGCTGAATATATGAATTTGTATGTATATGATACAGAATTCAAAGTAAAATTCTGATGATCGCAGGCAGGTTCAGCTTGGCTTCTATTGTCTCAAAAAAGAAAAACAAGATTTAGGGCCCAAACTTCAATTATAGGGAAATAGAATTTAAATATCTTAAGAGAATGAGCTACCCCAAAACAGAATGAAAAAAAGGCTGTTTTAGGAGGTCTCCATCACTAAAGATTTTCGAGAAAAGCCTACACACCATTTGCCAAAAATATTACAAAGGAATGTGTTAGATATTTCTGTAATGTAACTATTGTTTCAGAACAATTCCTTCTGAAAGAACAATGCCTAACTTACCTAGTCTCCCACAATGCGTAAAACAGTATCTTACACAGGGCAGAAGTTCAGTAGATATTTGCTGATTGAATCAGTTTATTGCTTTCAGAACCTATGGCAATTCATTTTAATATTTTTTTATGGTGGCCCATATCCACCCTTGAAGGATGAATTTAATTTCAGAAACAGGAAAAAGGCATTAGAAGTCAAGTCTGATGAACAAGGCAGATAAACTAGGCAATAAATTTTGGCTTATAAAAGATTTAAAACGGTAGTGACCTAATAATAATGTCTGTGATCGTTCAGCATTGAATCTGGCACAGGGTAGATGCTCACTCAGTTCTGGTACCATTATGGTATAAAATGAATCTGAGGGCTGACTCTCAGAAAGGATTTAAGCAAGGGTAACATTTTAAGAATGAAAGTACAGTGATTCTTTTAAGAGAAACAAATTCATTTGGATATGTGGACATTCTCAGGTGGTGCATTTGTTGAAATAAGTCTCAACACTAAATGGAATTATATTCCATTTTTCCAGAACCTTAACTACACAGGAACTACCTATTATAGGCTTTGGTTAAGCATTTTTGCTATAAAGCATGTAAATGTAAAATTCTCAAGTTTACAGGTTTATCCTGTATGAATGTGTCTCTTAAATACACTTGGTTGAGCTCTCCATACACTATGCTGATGTGCCGATATTAATAATTTGACTTTTTCTACAAAAGTGAGAACTCAGGAAAAAAAAAAAAAAAGAAATTGGGACTTTGTCCAGGAAACTCAGATTACAATGTGTATGCTTTAATTAGAATGCTTTAAATATGTGAAAATGAAGCAAAATCTTTACCAAATGCTATTTCCAAAGGAGATCAATTACTACACATTTGGTGAATAAGAAAAGAAAAAACAAAACACCTGGGATCTCTCAGCAAGTCTGACATCTCCTGGCAGGGCTGCCGGATGTCTTTGCTGTGGTTTCACTTTCTTCTGTGTAGACTTCACCATTTTAGCCTCTGAAATGTACTCTACATCCAGGTCTGTCCCTTCGGGGTTTCTTTTCACGCCTCTCTGGCTGACCGAAAGCTCAAAGGACGCCAGAGACTCATACTTGAAGTTGTTACCTGAAGGCCTGATTTTCTGATTTTTTGTATTTTCCTTAAACAACAAAGAATATGTCTTTATTTTTTGGTAGTCAACTTACTAATAATTAATGACCATTTCTCTTAAAACTTTATTAACAATTACTAATAAAAACCTTTTAGAAAGCAGAAGCTTAGAAGCAGAAGTATACCACTGTACAGGCTCATTTGGAATCTGACCCAGCAGAGCTGGGCTGAGTTAACAAATCTAATTTTGAGGATGCAGAAGACCCTAAATTGAGAACAGTGTGCTTCCTGATTTCTTTCCAGCAGAAATTTACATGCCTTTGGCTCCCTGGTGCATATTACAATATTTAAGCATTCTTCATTTTTTAAAAAAAGCTTCAAGATTGCACAGCCTCACCAATAATTATTTAAGGGGCCCCTTTCAGTTTAGATGCTCTCATTAGTGGAGGCTGGCTAGTACAAGGGGGCCTGATGGTTTGCTGAAGCGTGATAGATCAGGTGTCTTAGGAGCAAGTTCAGGGTGCCACTTTTCTAAATGTTGGCTGGGGCTTATCAATCCCATCATCTGCCTGTAGAAAAATGTGAATAACTAAAAGTATAATAGAGTTTTCCATATTTTTTGTATGGCTGATGTAACTGAAAGCTTTATATCTAAAGATTTAAAAATATTCCCTCTACACTTTAAATTTTATATAATAACAGACATTTGAGAAATATAATGTAAGGTGACATTAAGCAAACATAAGAACAATGTAGGAATTACACATACAATGTATGTCTAGGTAAATATATATCCACAGACAGCATCAATCAATCACTCCAGGTCTCTCATAGAGATCTCTCTCTACATATGATTAAATATATAAATATTTATTTAAAGAAAATATTCAGAGAAAATAGATTAATAGAAAATATTGGGAAAAATAAATTTAAATATTTTAAATGGTCATAGCTCCAGGAAGTAAGTCTACAAGTGATTTAATATTTTTTATTTATATTTTATTTTCTGAGTTTTCCCTAATAAACATGCATCGCTCTAATAAGAAAAAAATTATGACAGTTAAAAAGTTCCTTAGTGCTTCACTTTCTGAACCTCATAAACCATGACATTTGGCCCTTGATAAGTCTAATCCTTCATGAGAAACAACACACAATGGCTCAGTCTTATGTTAATTACTCACCTTAGGTGCTGAAGTTTGGCAGATGGGAGTGAACTCAGCAACTCTGCTTGTTGGTGTAAACTGAGACTATAGGAAAAGTCATTAGACAAATATGAGTAAAAATATCTTTCAACTGGCCTATTACAATTAATTCAACATTCTTCACTTTTTTTATTAAAAAGTTTCAAGATTGCACATCCTCCTCAATAATTATTCAAGGTGTCCCTTTCAATATAGATGTTCTGATTAGTGGAGACTGGATAGTACAAGAAGACTTGATGGTTTGTTGAAGTGTGATAGATCAGATATCTTACGAGCAAGTTCAGGGTGCCACTGTACCAAACACCATCTCCACAGGCCTCAACTTCCCTTTCTGGAGACCCTTTTGTTCCCTACTTTGAGGGCCCAGCATTTGAAACAAATTCTGATCTTCAACAATAGCTCTGTCTACCTCAGAGCTCTAGGCCTGAGCTTCAAGGGACTTTTGAGGGCAGAGTGGCTTTAACTGTGTCCCTATGCACGGGACGCTGCCTTATCCACATCACTCAGCGACTGCCTTATCCTCAGAGACACAGCTGCAGAGAGAGGAAGTGTTTGCTTTCCCTGAATAAGAAGTACCTTTTAAGTTAAATCTGATGTGATAATTGTTACCCTAAAATGAAGAGATGTTAATGAAATACAGAGGAGATAAAGAACAATGCAGGCTCTGCACCCTTCACTCTTCATGGGCTGAAACCCTTGTTAGGGGTCCACTTGTACCTCCTTTTCAGCGCAGCCATCCCATTACCTTTTCCTGTTCCATTGTGGTACCCAGCTCAGTCCATTTCTCTAGCACAGAACATTTACCTTGCTCCTGTAAGTACCCTATCCCTCAAACTGGAGTCCTGACTCTGATTAAGGGTCGGATGGACCTGTTCTCTTGCTGAAAAATTTTTGGATGTTTATGGCCTGCGCAGATTTTCAAATGGTGCCTTTTCCTCTACACTCAGATCCAAATGACTCTTGATGCAACTTATAAACTGCAGGTATCTTCAAGACAACCCTTCCAAAACTGAATCCATTGTTTTGCCTCTGTACCTGCCCTCACCCCTAACCAGTACTTCCTAGTGCATCCCCTCTTAAAACCAATAGCATCACCAAATTCGCAGCCATCAAGCTCGGTCATCTTTGGCTCTTCATCACTCCCAATCCCTTCCACCAATCAGTGATCAAGTCTTGTGAATTTCTACACTTAAATGTTTTAAATTCAAACTTTGCACTAGACTCAAATAACCTCACTTTTTAAAGGCTTTTATCATCTCTTAATTGAATTATTTTCTATAATCTCATTTTCTTGCTTCTAGTTCAGAGACTTCTCTAGACCTGTCATAACCACTTTGTACACAATGTTATTCCCTTCATTAAAATAGCAGAAGGAGGAAGAGTAGGGAGAGCTGGCATTTTCAAAATTAAATGCATATGATTAGAATCATCTGGTAAGTCTTTTTGAAAAGCTACTGATGCCATATCCTTACACCCTGAAATTCTAATTTAATTGTGTGGAGTGGGGGCCTGACATCTGTATTTTTCAGAGCTCTCCAAGTGATTCTAAAATGCAGTCAGGATGGAGAACCACCAGCCTAGATGATAGAGTTTTATTTCTGCAGCACCTAGCCCATGGAATGGCACATACAGGCATTCAAGTTTATTAAATGGGACCAAACAGCCCCTAGCATAACATATAAGCCACTTTCAAATGGCTGCACCTAAACTTGCTAAATTCCTCTTCTGAGCCATTTCCCACCCCTCTGATACCCACTTTGCCCTCATAGACTTAATGCCAGATCCCTATTTTCCAGGTTCTTTTTCATGTTCTCATGCCTTTGTATAACCCACTTCCTTTGCCTGCAGTAACTTTCCAATCTTCTCCATTTGTTAAATTTCACTCATCCTTCAAAGTCTTGGTTCAAATCTTTCACATTCTGAATACATCCACCAATTTCCCAAAGGAGAATTAATTGTTTTACCTTCTATGCCTCTGCATTATTTCTTTTTAGATGTCTACATATATAGATGTCTATGAGATAATATATTCTCATAGAACATACATTTCTAAAAGTCTATATTTTAAGTCTACTTAAGTCTACTACTCCATTCTCCATCTGTCCAGGTCCATGTCCAAGTAATAAGTAACTACTGTTGCTACTTTTCTTGTTTGTCTTCCCAGAGATTTGTTTATATATTGTACATAAGCATATGTAAAAAATTTTCCCCACTTTTTGGGGGCAGTGAAAAAAATGGTAGTATATTATATACATAGTCTACACCTTGCTTTTTTATTTAAGGATATATCCTAGAGCTCTCTCTGTTAGCATTGAAAAGGCTTCTTCATCTCCTTTTTCATTGTATTCTAAGGTATTGTACAATGTTTTGTTTAACCAGATCTGTTGATAGACATTTAGGTCTTCTCAATATTTTAATATACAAAATATGTTGCAATGACTTGTAAAACAGGTCATTTTGTAAATAGGTAACTTCGTATTTGTGTGAGCACATCTATGCGTACATAATTGATATCTAAAAGTTAAATTTCTGGATCAAACGGTATATACATTTGCAGTTCTGATAGGCATTGCTAAATTGTCTCCACCTGGCTTTTTTGGTGGCCTAGAATAGAGTGATTCTTGTAAATATTTCAAGAGCACTTAATAAAAAGTGGATTCTCTATTTTGAGAGAACAGAGTTTTATATATATAAATTACAAATACAGTATTATTGTTAAGTATTCCTAAACTGAGAGAAAACTAAAGTTTCTCATTACTAGTATGATTGTCTCTTTTTCCATTTATCATTTGCAGGTTTTGCTTAATGAAACTCAACACCACATTAGCTAATGAGAGAGACTGGTAATTGATACATCTTCATTGTGAACTAATGACTTCAGCCTAATTAAATACCCTTCCTTCCACTAATTGTTTTCCCCTTGAATTTCAACATGTCTGATTTTAGGATAGATCCCTATTTTATTTTTGTATACTATCTGAATTCAATCCTTCTGAATTACCATTTTAGATGTGTGCTTTGTATATAGTACAGACATGATCTTTGTTATGTGATAGAACCTAAAATCCCTTATCTTTTATTAAGGTAAGCTTAGGTCATTTGCATTGATACCATATATGTGTTTGGTATTAGTCATCATATTATTTTATTTTGTTTTTATAATTTCTTTTCAGTTTTTAATGATGCAGTCCATTTATATTTGTTTTGTGTAGGTACTTCTAATATTACGTAGGTTTTTTCCTATTGACTAACATCATAATGATAACTTTATGTTTCTATTTTAGATAGTATCCATAAGTTTTCTACTCTAAATAGGGACAAAATTTACTTTCTCTTCCCTCTTTTCTTCCACTCTCTAATATTTATTAATAATATTGTATTTGTTGGTGTTTATATTAGAACCAAAATGTATGCTTAAATTGCTTAAATGATGTATCTTAAATCTGCTGGCACAGATCAGGCAAACAACTTACCTTTCACCTTTTGTTCTTGACCTCCTATTTTTGTTAGCTTAATTATTCCACATTTCTAGGATATTTACACTCAGTCTGGTGCCTAATGTCACATATGTTTTAGTCTTATTTCTAGTTAAATACAATCAATGCTTATTTCCAGGTCTTTGGTGTAGAATTTTCAGGTATTTCTTGGCTGGTTCAAGTATGACCTCTAGTTATTTCCTCAAAAGAAGTCATGAGAACAATATTTACGGAGGGTTTCCCCCCTATTTTCAAAACTATTTGTAGACTTTTTATTTTACAATGGTATGGTGAATATAAAATTCTTGATTTATACTCCTTTCCTTGGGGATTCTTGTAGTTTACTTCACTACCACCTGGAGCTGTCATTTTTATAGAGAATTTGAAGCCTAAATTTTTTTTCTCCTATAAGTGATTTGATCTTTATACCTATTCACCGAAGAATTCTTTTTCTTTACAGTTCAGTAACTTTACTAGAATATGCCTTGTTGTTGACTATTCTGGGACAGTTTTCCCTACCATGCAGTACACCGTTTCAAATATGTGGCTTCAAGTTTTATTTTTTCCCTGAAAACTTGAAAATTTTTCCTGATTTCTATCTTTGAAAATGTGTTTTTCCCTTACTTTGGGGGGGGAGGGGTATTCTTATTATGCACACATTTAATCTTCTTTAATTAGGTATGTGTGAACACCTTTAACTTCTCTCCCACAGTCTCGAAGGAAAAAAATGTCCATCTTCTTACACTAACTTAAACTCTCTACCTGAGTCTTAGTAATCCCTTCTTCCTGTCTTTGCTGGAATTTTCTGTACCAGCTAGGCCTCATCTCTATTGTGAATTTTCTCCCATTTCACTGGCTCCTTTCTCTTGGTTCAGGTCCTAACCACAAATTTACCTCATCCTTAACTACCCTCCTAACTCCAACCCTATCTTCTCTGCCCCTTCAGTAAAAATTTCCTAAAGTAGCTTATTACTTCTGACTCCCATTTCTTTACTGTTCACTGAATCCTCACCCCATCTAGCTTACTCTATGAAACTTATCTTGCTTATGTGAGAAATGGCCTTTAAGTTATAAAAACCAACGGACCAAGACAATGAGAAGACAAGCCACAGCCTAGGAGAAAAATGTTTGCAAAAGAAACATCTTGTAAAGGCCAAAATGTTGTACCAACCACACAAAGAACTCTTAAAACTCAACAATAAAAAACAAACAGTTGATTAAAAATGGACCAAAATATATATGTACCCCTATGTTCACTGCAGCATTATTTACAATAGCCAAGATGTGGAAACAACAAAACTGTCCTTCATGAAAAGAGGCACATACAAACATGGAATACTACTCAGCCATCAAAAAGATAAACCATTGCCATTTGCAACAACACAGATACATCTTGAGACTATTATGCTAAGTAAAATAAATCAGACAGAAAAGGACAAGAACTGTATGATTTCACTCACATGTAGCATATAAAACAAAAAGTAACAAAGAACCAAACTTACAGATACAAACAATGGAATGGTGGTAACCAGAAGGGAAGGGGGTGGAGAAAGAGGATAAAAGGGATCA